TTAGTCCATGTAAAGTTCATTTATTTGGTATTCAAGATGAAGCAGTAAGGGAGCAAATTAATTATGTTCTTAATGAAAATGAAATTATAGGGAAAGGTCCAAATGGCACTCTTAGTATGGTTTTTGATGGAATTAAGAAATTGAACCAAGGTGAAAAGCATTTGAAGATTACTTGTGATAATGCTGGGGGACAAAATAAAAATAATGTAACAATTTGATTCTATTTATATTTGGTAATTTGTGGTTATTATGAAAGTGTTGAATTGAATGGCATTAATATCATTGGACAAGTATTCTTTGATAGAGATAGTTGTATATCCATAACTTATTTCATTATGCAACTTATCAATTGGGGCATGCTGCAACAAAACCAGACAAAGTGAACATTTGCATTACCAAGGATTTCAGGGATCAAAAAATTTATATATGTAATATGATTTGAATGATAATTTACATATTAATTATTAACTTTATTTATGAGCAAAGAGAAATATAAAAATTATATTATAGTTTTTTATGGGCAATGGATTATATATTTTGCAAATTTCATTTCCTATATAAAAACAAAAAACAATTAATATTTTATCTTAAAATATAATTATATTTTATACTATTTATACCTCATGTTCTTCAGGTAATGATGGTGATGATGGTGATGATGGTGATGATGGTGATGATGGTGATGGTGATGATGATGATGGTAATGATTCCTATAAATATAAGTAAAAAAATTAAATATCTACCATTATTAATATTAATGTTTCAGTTTATACTTACATTATTTTTACAACGTTTCTTTGGTAATGGATCAATATCATAGTTTATGGACTTTTTTTTTCGCAGATTATATTTATGATGAGTTGTTGGAAGGGAGTTGTCAGTTGTTACAGCAGTTGCTAGCATGGTGGAAGTTTGATTTTATTGGATATAAAATGTGACAAAATAAAATTTAGGTTTTTACCAAAATTAGAAAATTTTAGGGAAAATCAAGATTTATATGGAATGTGTAACGTTGATCGCAGCGAACAAAAAATTTATATATAAATATATATATACACACGAGAGTTTTATTCCTATATTACCACTACCACTACCACTGTCGTCTCATTCTTGTTCTACTGCTATTGTTACTGTTACTGCTACTGTTACTACTGCTTTTAATGTGCCATTATTATATCTGATGCCATTACATTAGAGAAAGTTAAATCTTTCAAAGAAATGTCCTATTTATTATTATGAATTGATTATAAAGTACTAATATTTATTATTAATATATGCATGTCCATTCACCATATTATTATATTGTACATGGATAATTGCATATATAACTATTAATAAAACAAGTATTAATAGATAGATATAATAAGAACGTTACATCTACCTGCAGTCATTTCTTAAATTTGTAATATAAACGATAGCCTTTATTCATAATAGAGTAATAAATTATTTATCTGTAATTAAATTGTAAATATAAATAGTTTAATAAATAGTTAATAGTACCATAAAGAAATACCTCTTTAGTATTAGTAAACTCCACAGGTATTGATGTATTAGAGATGGCACATGTTTAACAATCTATGCTTGGTTTTACATCTAATGGCAGAGTTTTTTGTATTGGAAAAAAAGTTTTTTTTTTAATAAAGCGAAGTTACTATTTAAAATCTCTTAATTTAAATGAAAACACCCTTATATTAAACCTTCACTAATACTTGTGTTATCAATGATGTGATTCAATTAATATAGATGAAGAACATGTAAATAGATTATTTTTAAACTTAAAAAATGAAATAAAAGATTGGTAAAAATCATATTTTATTAAAAAAAATTTTTTTCCTATATAATTATTAATACAACTATTAAAATAATTTACAATTTTAAAGGAAAATACCTTTATAACAAAACCTCATGAGTATTAACATTATCGCGATGCGTTGGTAATTAACTGCCCTTCTTTCTTTATTGTATGTTTAATTGCATGATCTTTTTTAAAGGTGTAATAAAAAAAAAAAAGTAAAAAAGATATCTCCTGACAAGGTAAAATTACTAAGCAAAATAAGTCGCATATAACAAAACCTCATGAGTATTAATGTTATCGTGATGCATTGGTAATTAACTGCCCTTCTTTCTTTATTTTATAATGAATTATAAAGTTTATTTAAAATTTATTATTTAAAAATTTTTTGTGTCAATTGAAAACGTGACTTTACATATATGAATTCATTTTAAATTAAGAAGTTACACAATATAATTTCAAGATCATCACTATGTGACAAATGTGATAAAGAGAAATTCCACTATGCTATTTTAAATATGTTTTTTAAATTGTATACATCACTTTATAATTACACCCTGAGTATACATCAGGAAATTAATTTAGCGTAAACTTGCATAAATCTTACAATGCCGACGTAATATTGTGTAAATCTTACAGTGCCGACATAAGTTTTACACTTTTTTATTATTAAACTTACAATTGACACGTGTAAAATTTTTTTATATTTTCCGGATGTATGTTAAAGTCTGGCAATTGGCAAATTCTTTAAGATATACAACTAATCTAGAGGTACTGATTATATATGCTGCCAAAATCCCAAATATACAAAGTGAATTTGGGTCAGCTTGTCAAAGAATTCCAAATCCCAACTATTTTGTACACTCATAACATTCTGTCTCTCAACCAATAAGAGCCTAAGATTTGTGAAAGTGATCAACAATCCCTTTGTTACACTATATGCTTATTGGTTAGGAAAGCAGAGCAGAAAGATTGATCTACATTTGGGATTTGTACATTTGGCATGTACAAAGTAATTTGGGCAGCACCTATAGTTCTAATCAAAAATAAAAAGTGATTTTTGAATATCCATAATTATCATTTGAATACATACTTGACTATTCAAAATATTTTTGACAATTTAAGAAATCAATTCTCATTGGATCTTTAGTAATTCAATAACATTGATATAAAGGGTCTAATTGCTTATTACAATTGAAGAAAGCAAAGATTAACCTTGGTGTCTATTTTATTGATAAATTTCTAAAAAACATATTATAAAGCAAAATACACATATAACTAGTAAATCTGTTAAAACCCATTATGCTAAACTTTACTTTGATGTTGATTAGTAATTGACCATTGACCCATGTATGTTTAAGTGCCACTGTTGCTGACATATTCTTTGATTTCAATTGGCTCACAAAATCATTCTCACCGCCATCATCAAATTATTATGTCTTTCTAGCAGCTTTCCCAGCTGGTGCTAGAGGTTGGAACCGGTTTGGGTACAATCAACTTAAAACCAGTTGCAACCGGTTGCAACATAAAACTGGTTCCTATTTTTCATATTCAATAACATCAGGAAAATGGGTACAAATATTATGCGTATATAATACACAATTGCAGGGATTAAGCATATAATATGTGTACAA